TCCACAGACACACACACACATCTTCACTCTGCTGCAGAGCCAGTGCTGTGGGCTAGAAGCTGTTAGCACACTGTGTAAACTCTGGAGTTAGAGTGTTTGCCTGGCAGTGTACCTGGTAGTCATAAGTCCAGCCTTGCTGCATAGAAGCTTCCAGGGAAAATGCCAATGCAGGGACAGTAGTGGGGACCCATTCACCCTGTCCCAACGCCACATGAGCTTGACTGTAGGTATGTCAGCTTACAGCAGAGACTTAGGTGACAAGGCTCTGTTCCTACAGAAACAAAAAAAGAGAACCAATTGTTTCTGTCTTGTTTTCCTAGTTAAGTATGCAAAGGGGAAATGCTGATAAAAGGCTATGTCTAAATATGTTGAAAATAGCTCTTTTGACAAGTGTAAACCGAGCATGCTAGGTGTTGGGAACACAGTGTTTTCTTGTTTAATTGGGAACCATCCTTTTCTCTCCCAGCTGAATGTGAAACAAAAGGAGTCTCTGGTACCAAAGCCCACGTGGCTTGTCTGAGGATGCTTCGGCCTGTCAGTCCAATGCAACCCCAGTACAGATGCTAGCTGCAGAGGAAGCGGTCATCTGAGTCACCTGCTTCAGAGAACAACCCCTCTCATCCCCAGCGATTGCTGTGATGGTGTTGGAGTTTGGCATACAGCAGTCATTGGCTGCCCCCAACTACCATCCCCGGACTGAGGTTCGACACAGGGGCTTAAGTGTCATGTGTATTATTTTGCTGAAAATACATTCCAGGATTGCTCTGACCCTGGTGGCCTTGTTACTGCAAGATGGTGCTTCTGCCCTCTACTGGTAGAGGAAGATAACACCAACCACAGAGCAAAGACGCTGGCCAGCTTCACTGGAGCTGAAGAGGCTGCCACTACCATGAGTTCCTAGGAAGACTGCCTAGCCTGGTGACCCTAAAGTGACAGTGCTGTTAATGCAAGTTAGTTCTAGACATGATTTGCATCTCCCCTGCCATTTAAAATATTTTTATTACATTTGTTGTGTATATATGTAAGGAAGCACACCACAGTGTGTATGTAGGTTGGAGGGCAACTTGTGGGAATTAGTTCTCTCTGTCCACTATGTGGGTCCTGGGTGTGAAGCTCAGGTTGTCGGCAAGCACCTTCACCTATCGAGCCATTTTTATGTGGGATTGTAACGATCTGAGATGTGTTAATTTGCTCGACTGTATGTTGAACTTTATTGGGCTGTTTGTTTTTCTGTGTACTGTGGACATTTTTACTTCATATACTGAACACTTTTAGGAATACATTTGCTGTGCCAATTCAAATTATGTTTTTCTGATTTGTTTTATATTATGGATTACTTTTTATTTGACAACCTCTGTATTCCTCATATGAGCTTTCATTATCAGCTCATATTAATTATACATGCGATGGATTTTATGTGACTTTTTTGTGTATAAGCTCAGATTATATTTCCTCATTACCTATGCTGTCCCCTCACACTGGCTCCCTTCCTAGTTTCTATCACCCCCTTTATTTCAGGGAGAGAGTATCTTACACTTAATCCCTTCAAGTCTGGCTCTCTCGGAGATCTTGGAGCCATTTCCTTTCAGAGGAGAAGCATTCAGGAACCAGCAATGTTTCTGTTAGTCTCAGAAAATAGCATTTATAAGTGTAGCAGATTTCTGTTTGATCTTTTTAGTTTAGAATATTACCACACATCTGAAATTTGCCTTAACCATCCCAATCTACATCGTCAATATTATGCTCCTAGACAGCACCTGGGAATTCCATTCAGGGCATCAGTGTTTTGCAGGCTACTCAAAAGCCAGCTTTGGCAGAATGGGAGGCAGGTGCAAGCCCCATGCGCCTCCCTCTGGGTACTTAAGCTATTGGTAGGTGTCTGGCAGTCCATGGGTACCTCCACCATTGTCACGGTAAACAGTTGCACAGGTGGCTGGCTCAGTGGGTAGAGGTGCCTGCCATCAGGCCTGAAAACCCAAGTTCCATCCCTAAGAAGGTAGGAGAACCAATTCCCTTACGTTGACCTCTGCCCTCCACACATGCACCATGCTATGTGTATGTATGTGCGCATGCACACATAATAAATAAACGTAGAGCTGGAAGAAGAGGGAGGGAGAGGACAGGAAGAGGGAGGGGGAGGAGAAGAAACATTTTTTGTAGCAGAAACTGGAACTTGAGTAGTTGAAGGACTTTGTTTCTCTAAACCTGGTGTTTACTCAGGTCAGGCTGCCTTCTCTCCTCACATGGAAGGCTGTCTCCCCCTCAGAGAGGACTTGGCTGACGCCACAGGAGACGCTGGAGAAGTGGATCTGTACCCAAGTCATTCTCCATGAGGGAATGCAGGTCCATCCAAAGGGTCACCGGCCTGGGCCAAAAGCACCCTCCCTGTGACTCTTCGTCTCATACTGCGTCAACCTTGGTTTAGGTGGTTGTGGGAGGGTGCAGGGATGGAACTCTGGGTCTTATGAATCCTAAGCCAGCTTTGTGTTAGTCACAGTTCAACCCTCAGCCTAGTTTTGGATGTTCCCTTCCAGTCCTCTGTTTGCTGATGGTGAATTTTACTGATTCACTTAAGGGGAGAGGTGTCCCCACGGCTTAGCAACTCCAGCGCGTTGTATCTGGTTCACGGTTGAACGCTCAGCTGTCTTGGCACAGGGGCACCGTTTCCTGTGTTGATCCTAGCAGACTGCCTCATGATGCAGAGCCCCCTGCCCAAAGGCACCACGGAGAGGGATGGCACCTGACTGCAGTTCTATCTGTCCACCAAGAGACTTGTCTGCCAGCTTGTCCTCATCTGGTGGACAGGTGCCCATTATGCACTCAGATGGAGAGCTGACTTCCAGTTCCTGGAAGCAGCATTCTGACTCCAGGCAGTTGCGCTTGCTTGCTTGCTTATTTATTTTCACGTGCAGTTACTTCTCGCTACTCTGCCAGAACCAGCCAAGGTGGTGGCTCATGTTTGCAGCCAGCTGTTGGCAGATAGGATAAGTATCTGCAGAAATGACAGTGTTGGCTACTTATACAAACTGTTTTAACTAACCTTTAATGGTTTCATAGCCCAGGCTGGCTTTGAACCTGCACAAATTCAATTGCCTCAGCCTCCTGAATTCTAGATTTAAGCTTGTGTTACCACACCAGGCTTGTGTAAAATGCCTTTCTACAGTACATCCCCAGGTGGGCTGAGAGTTAGACACGGACTCTCTAACCCACTTAGAGGGATTTAACTCTATGAAGGTGACAGTTCCTGCTCTCTAACCCTGGGAGGTACCAGTCAAAGCACCTGGAATCTGTTAACACACCAAAAGATAAGAACACTGATTTAATTGTTCATTGTAAGTTGACCACGCTCCCGTGGATGACTCCAAACCCAGGAGTACAAGAGTAGCACAAACTGGAGTCACCTGGTGTGGGAGTGGATCTGGGTGGAGTTAGAGGAAGCATTCAGGGGATGAATATGATCAAAATATTGTGTCAAATTGTCAACAAAATAAAATATTTAAAAAAAAATGACTGAAGAGCTGGGCAGTGGCGGCACACGCTTTTAATCCCAGCACTCAAGAGGCAGAGATAGGCGGACCTCTGTGATTTGAGACCAGCCTGGTCTACAATAGCTAGTTCCAGGACAGCCTCCAAAGCCACAGAGAGACTCTGTCTCAAACTCCTCCCCCCCAACAAAAAGACTGAAGAAAAAGATGTGAACTGTGTTTAAGTGGACATGCGACATGGGGGATTCAGAGTGGACATTAATTAGGAAATGCTCCCCCCCCATCAGAACCCCAGTTTCTATCAGAGGACAACAGGGTGTCTCTGAGTTCTGGGATTTCCTGAAGGGGAAAAGAAAGATCAGTTTGAAAGAGAGGAGGATCAAATTCAACAGCTTATCACTGAAGGCAGAGGTATATATTAGAGGTATATATTTGTTATTTCCAACCAATTCCTGATCAAATGTCTCAGTGGTTAAGAGTGCACACTAACCCGCAGAGGCCCTGAGTGCTGTTCCTAGCACTCACGATTTCCTGTAACTCCAGCTCCTGGGGATGTGACATCTCCGGTCTCCATGGGAGCCTGCAATCACACATATCCACATACAGACACATAACCAACAGTAAATATTAACTATTAAAACCACCAGTAAACACACTGCCAACGTCTGATGTCCTCATTCCTCCCCAGCATGCTGGTGAGCACAGTATTTGCCACTAACCACCTGTAAGCATCTGTGTGCCCCACTACAGATTCTACATAGCACTTCCACTTGAACAGTCATATTCTGACAAATAATTTAAGATGGGCTAAACACTTCTGTCTTCATAGAATAGTTTTTTGTTTTTTAATGTATGAATCCTCTGTCCACATGTACACCAGAAGAGGGCATCAGACCCTGTTTTAGATGGTTGTGAGCCACCATGTGGGTGCTGGGAACTGAACTCAGGACCTCTGGAAGAGCAGCAGGGTAGCTAGTGCTCCTCACCTCTGAGCCATCTCTCCAGCCCCCTTTACAGACGATTTTTTGTCACCCAGGAGCTTGTTGACAGACTGATTCTGTGTCAAACCTTTGCTACCTCAGGCTAGGCAGTTTCAGGCCCTGGAGAGTAGTTTTTGAGGCTCAGCCAAGGGTTCTGACCTTGACTGCTAGGACAGGGACATTTTCAAAACTCACATTCCTCATGTGAGTCTAAGCTGTTTGAAGCAGACTATTGCAGCTTGCCAGATGGCTATTTTACTGTAATTTTCTAACTGTAATTTAGATATGTAAAAGGCCGAAGTTTAGAACACTGTGATCACTACAACCTACAAAAATGAGTAGCTGAGGGCAACAATGTTGCTAACATTCAACTTCTACAGAGGCTCAGTGAGACAGGGCCACAAAAAAAGTGTTAGCAAACCCACAAGATAGGGCATGAAGCAAAATACAAACCAATGCCACACCATTCTTCCCCACCTTCTTACACCTCACCTCTCCACCAAACCCCAACTACAAAGCACACTCCAGAAACAGATCAGCAGTGAGGTTTTTTTTATTTAATTTGTAAAGAACAGTTGAAAAACAAAATGCTAGCACACTCTTAAAAACATTGGTTTCTTCATCTCACAGTTTATCTGCACCGATTGTTATTACAAAAATCAGAAGTCATTGCGGTATTTGCAGTGTAACCACTAGTTGCCTAAACAAAAGCTAATTTCTATAAAACCATAAATTTAATGCAGTTTTAATAAGAGAAATTCAAAATTCTCTTAGTTAACTGGATATATAGTGGTGTATATATATATATATATTTATTTAAGCAGAAAACCTCAAAAACAGTAACAAAAAAATAGGTCACCATAGTAAAATATTCTAACCCGACTGTTCCTACAAACAGCAACTTCCACTAAATATAAAGAAAACCATTATCTGTGGTAAAAAAATCTAGAGACCAAGTAGAAATGTGGAATAAAAATGCAACAAACCCTAATCCATCCTAGGCAGAGCCTGTTTCTAAGGAAACACAGGCTGTGGTCTACATAGGAAACTGGGAACTATTGTGCCCTGGCAAGTGACAGTCCTCTTTCCATGTTGGTGCAAGACACTGCTGTAAGTTTGCATCTTGCATAGGAAGTAGCTGTGTTGTTATGAGTGCTACAGCAAATGGTAAATGATTTGAAATGAAGCCCATATGTCACTAGGCACCTCATTTACTAACCCAAATCATCCTGATCAAATAGAATCCAAAAAAAAAAAAGAGAGAGAGAAAGGTATCAAAACAAAGTGCTTGCTCCTTGCAGGAGGCCCACCACCCCATGAGAAGTGTCTATGCCCTGGGAAGCCCTCTGCATCCAGTGGCACTCACAGGGAACTAACTGAGTGGATCCAAGTTCTTTCTCAGAAAGTCCAGGCACCACCAGCACAGGCCATGCAGCTTCCTCAAGCTGCAGCTGCAGTGGAGCTACGGAAGGCCCTGTCTTCAGGAGCCATGGTGCAGCTGCATGCTGCCCAGGACGGCACTGTCGTAGCGCTGCTCCACCCGCACACAGCTTGAGTGCTCCAGCACACTGCTCAGTTCAGGGATGCTCTCAGCAGTGTCCCCAAACCCATGGTAGTGTCCATAGTGCAAATTCTCTCCCCCATCCCCCACCCAGGACGGCCTGCTGGCCACACAACTACTTGGGCTCCCGTTCAGATGCAGAGACCCACACATCTCAGGGTTAACGCCCATGGTCTTTTCTGGCTCCTCAGTCCCATTAGCACACACAGAACCCTGGCCACTGGAAAATGGCTGTCCATTGCTAATTCCATTAGATCCTGATAAGCACGGGTTACTCCTGTTCTCCATCCCATTGAGCTGGGTCACGCAGGGGAAGTCCAAATGTCCATTGATGACACTTCCATTTGTCAATGTATTCAACACGGAGCTACTGTTTTTCACATCTGCATTAAGAAATATACCTGTCACCAAAACACAGACCAATGGGGAAGGAGAAACTAGCATATGTTCAACCCTTGCCACAATTATAAAAGACGTTGGTTTATGCTCTGCTGCAAGTTTTTCCCCTGCTAAACAAACCAGTTTCTTTTTCTGGGTTATACAGGCAGATTTAGAAGTAAAACACAACTGTAGTATTTTGCCCAATAAGATAGGAAAAGTGCATATATTTCAGTAGCCTTGGACAGTGATCTGAAATGTAAGTTGTCACCAAAAGTAAACACAGAACAGTACTTATCTACTAAAGTAACCCTTGAAGAACAGTTTAAATACCCCCAGAAGGGTCCAGCAGAACTCAGCAGAACATTCTCTACTGAAGACCGGAACTTTTTAGTCAAGGAGGGAAAGGCAAATGAAGTAGATACACTAAGGAGCTACACTAAGGAAGTTTGAACTAGTGCACCACCAGGGGACACTTCTCAGTCAGGTAGCACAAACTGCTTTTGTCTTAGCAACAACCACACACACACACACAACCCCCAGATGTCCCTCAGTGAACTGGCGCAGCATGAACGGCAGCTACAGCAAAGACTGCCAACACCAGTGGCTCTTATAGTTCTGAGGGTTTCTCCTGAGCCCAGTATCAAAGATACCCCGAGAGCCAAGGTCTCCTATCTGGCTATTTTCAGAAACCACTAATGCTGAAAGGTATGGATAGTTTAGTCCATGGATCTAAATGTCTGTCTACCGACAAGATGCTGCTGCACAGAAAGTGTGGGCACACAGGTACAGAGCATTACAATTGGTGTTCACAGGAGCCCACACAGTATAAGAACGGGCTCTTGCTTGGTAACATTGAATTTTATCTCAGTGCTCTGGGCTGCTGAGACACACAGACAGACAGTGGCTTGTGGACAAACAGTGACTTTCTCCTGAACCCACAGCTTGCATGTGTCCTGTCGAGGAGTGTGGTTACTAAGCAAACAAAACACCAAGATCCCCACCAACATTTGTGGGTTTTTTTGCAGATCAGTAATAATAACAACAGTAACTTTAACACATTCAGGGGATAATTTTTCCTCCTAAAATTGTAGCTTTTCTCTATAAAAACTCAATGTTAGAGAATGAATTATATTTTTTTTTCAAAAATAAAGTATGTTACCTTTCTTTTATGTTAACTCATAAATAGGATGGTGAATGTCAAAGTAATGAATGCTCTATAAACAGTAGGAACCTGGTAGCCTAGCCTCATCTGGGGCAATGTATTGACATCTGATGGGCAGAAGCCTATTTCACTTCCCTTCTTATCCACTTGCTCAGCTGTGGACAGAAGCCAATCAATCCAAAGCACTGGGTGCAGGGAGACAGGCTGAGCTGGGGAGGAAGTCTCTGATACACTCACTAGAGAAGTCCCCCTCACCTCCAAAGTCTCCAGTGAGGGGCAAAAAAAAGTGTGAAGGCATCATTAAAACAGCTTTTCAAAAGTGTAGAGACACACTTCAGGAGACATGCCTTACTTCTGGGCAGACCCCAGGGAGGCTGTAGCTACCAGCACAGGCTTTCTGTGGACACAGGTGCTATTTTACACAAGGAATGGGCAAGGCTCTCTAGGGATTCCTAGCGCATTTCTTCAGCCAGACAGTACTGGAAAGCACCACAAGGCCCACATGGCCTCCTGACATCCAGGACAAATGAACAGGTTTGAAAGGGAAACCCTACCCACAAGCTTAGCATGGGGCTGGCTGTTAACACAAGGAGGGTAGACAGCGTTTACTTTTGTCTGACCAGGAAGTGAGCAACTTCTTTTTCATGAAGGACAGGCTCTGGCTTTTGCCACTTTTCCCTTGTTAGCTAAAATAGCATCTGTGGACAGAGAACCTGACTTTAAATGTGCTCTCTGAGCACCCCCTTTATTTAACTATCTGGCTGGAGGTAACACTACCCACGACTGTGCAGAGCAAGTTACCGGCACAGAAACATTTACTGTGGGTTTGGAAATACACAGGTAACCTTTTATTCCCAGTAAAGAAACAGAAAGACATTATAGAGAATAGTGATGATGCTCTGTCATCACCTAAAGAATGGGAGAAAAAGGCACATGCCAAATAAATACATCTCAGAAAACCTAGATCCTAGAAAAATTGAGCTTCTTTGACTTTAAAACTGCAAATTAAAAGTTAATTATTTTAATGTGCTGAACATGTTAACATGTAAAGCACCATTGAAAATGGTCAGCATTTTAACAGTCTTCAAGGGATTGCCAGACACCAAAGCAACCAAGAGCGTGGGGCAAATATCCCAAACTTGTCACGAGTGGGTCCCAAGCCACAGTCACCACCCTCACAGTTCCCAGTGTGTACAGTGAGCTGTCCAAATGCTGTACTGCCTTCAAAACATAACCAACAGCATATGCAGAGTCACCCAAAGGCCATGTCAGGAAACCAACTGCAGACCTCATGAAAAACAAGCAAGGCACATCACGTGAAGGCTTCAAATCAAAATCAGGAGATTGCACTAGTGCTCATAGCAATAGAATTCACCAAAATGCTTAATTCTTGCATCCATACAAGTGCCAAAAAATTTGTAAATTATAATAGAACATTAAAAAAAAAACCAAACACTGGACAAGAAAGTGCAAAGTTTGAGAACTTAGAAATAGTAAGCATACTGATTCTTGCAACGACAAGGGGTTTGCATTGCTGAAACAGTATATATTTCTATTTCTTTGGGTCCAACAGAACCACTCTCCTGTTGTTTGGTGTCTTCGACCACTGGGGTGTTGTTGCAGCTAACAGGAAACTGTCCACTCCCACCTGATACAGCAGCAAATTCTCTGTCAACATGCATTCTGTCAGCGTCATCTTCAGCCTCACCATTCGATAGTGGCATGGTGTGATCCAGGCTGGGAACTGCATAGGAAACAGGCATTTTAGATTTCTGTGTCCAAAAAGAAATCAAAGCCAAGCTTTTCATCTCCTTTATCTACACTAAAAGCTTAAACAACTGTCAAACAATTTAAAGAAGCAAAGATCCCCAGTGAACTCTTTTTTTTTTAAAAAGATTTTATTTATTATGTATACAACATTCTGCTTCCATGTATATCTGCACACCAGAAGAGGGCACCAGATCTCATGTGGTTGCTGGGAATTGAACTCAGGACCTCTGGAATAGCAGTCCGTGCTCTTAACCTCTGAGCCATCTCTCCAGCCCCCCAGTGAACTCTTATACTATTGGGAAAGTACTTTTTAAAATTAAAGTGTTTAAGTGTGAAGTGTGCGATTTCAGCTCAAAGTCATGATTTCCAGATTTCTGCTCATGTTCTTGATGGCAAAAGCTGTAATTCCCAGGCTGTTTCTTGGATAACAGAGTTGTGTAACCTGGAGATAATTCTAAGTTTATCCCACCTTGTCCCTACCACACGTGGGTTTAATGAAATACTGAAGATAAGTCTCAATATGAAGCATTCAAAACAATCTTGACATAAAAAAAATCCCTTAATTTAACTAAAAACAGATTACAAAAAGGGTGATGCACTCAAACACAGGCTATCCACAGGGACCCACTCCTAGCAATGTCTGGTCTGAGTCCCCAGCACAGAAAAGCAAAGGTACATACTAGAAAGTTTGAGACGGGACACAGGACAATTAGACTCCACTCTGTCTGTGGGCGGAAGTGCCCAGACACCATCACTTCCTTCCAGGTACACACTCTGTAGACACCTCTGTCCCCAACCTGACAATCCTCACCGAGAGGGAAGAGTCCCTCTCTTTCACAAATGGCATCTAATTTTAATAAGAATGGGCTTCTTTTTTCTTTTAAAAAATGATAAACAGATGGCTTCAAGAACTGCTCCTGCATGTTGCTTCACTGACACACGCAACAGTTAGTCAAGCATAGAATGCAGTCATAGTCCAGGTGCGGTTTGAGCAGGTGGATCTCTGTTAGTCTGAGGCAAGCCACAGTAAGCTCCAGTCTAGCCAGGGCTAAAGATCAGCTTGTTTCAAAGGGGACTGTGGGGAGGAGTGCATGTCATCTGCAGGAAATTTTATAAACTGGACATCATACTTAACAAAATAAGCTATACATAAAAACAAATATTGTTTTCTCTCACATGTAAAATCTAGATTTACACACACAAACACACACACATGCAAAGAAAGGGCTATTTGGGGGAGGAAGAGACTAGTAGGCAGGGGGAAGACAGTGGGAGTGTCAAACATAATCAAGGTATGAAAATACCATATTGAAGAATATTATTTTGTATGCTAACTTTCAAAAGAATCTTGTATTCACCATATGGCTACAGACGTGTTAGGCTGCCTGGGCTGCCTCCCTTCTGTGGTCTCACAAACTGCACACTTAGAACCCTCAGATGCACATCTTTGTTGACATTTCTTCAATAAATACCTACAATTATTTCTGGGTCAAAGGATACAAATAAACAATTCAGGTATGAGGCAGTTTTCAAAAATAGAAGAAATGAACTTCATAGCTTTAACTAGTCCTCATTTTAGAGGCACGAAGGTCTTTTTCAATTATTTACACCAACATCCTATTCCTTCCCAAAGATGCTAAGGTGCAGATTGAAGCCAAAAGTGCCAGAAAGGAAATGAGAACCCAACTGAACGAGTGAGCAGTGCGAGATGGACCTGCATGGTTGGGGAAAAGCAAAAGTCTGACTAGTGAGAGACGAAAAGCATTTTATTTTTTTTATTTTAGTTTAGTTTTAGTTTTTTGAGACAAGGTTTCTTTGAAGCTTTGGAGGCTGTCCTGGAACTTGCTCTTGTAGACCAGGCTGGTCTCAAAGTCACAGAGATCTGCCTGCCTCTGCCTCCTGAGTGCTGGGATTAAAGGCGTGCACCACCAATGCCCAGCAACCACAAGCATTTTAAACAGGACTTTTGGAACTACAAGCCATGAAGCTGTCCTTCTCACACAAAGCTTTTTCAAATCCCGAAAGCCCCAAGTTAGTAGGTCAGTACCAAACTGGCTATGTCAACAGCAGCAGCCACAGAAGCTGGGATCTGGAGGGGTCAATTATCCAGTGGAGTAGGTAACCACGTTTCTACTGGGAGGCCAGGGGATCAGTGTTGGTCCCCTTTCTGCTGTGTCTGGTCAACTAAACCCAATTACTCTTTACACAGCTGTGCCAGATGTTAGATAAACATTCAGTGTCCCAACAGGCCTCATGTAAAGTGGCAACTACAGGTTCTTGCAAGCAGGCATCATAACTATCATTATCTACTTTAAAATGTATGTCATGAACCATGGAATTAGATACCACAGTATCCCTAAGAATACTATGTGGATTCCATATGCTCCATGTTACACCTTGATATGCGTGGCATTTCTGCCCCGCATCTGTCACTGCTAAAGAAGCCATTTAAGCCCCACCTGAGAAGGTTTGTGCAGACATCTCAGAGTAGCCCATATTTATTTTGCTTGGGTTTGGAAAGGAAGCAAAAAGTGTACCTTTTTTTTTTTTTTTTGGGGGGGTGTCTAGTCAGGATTTCTATACAGCCCTGGCTATCCTGTAGACCAACCAGATCTGTAGACCAGAATGGCCTTGACTCAGAGATCCACTTGCTTCTACCTCCCAGGTACTGAGATTAAAAGTGTACACCACCACTACTCATCAACAAACCAGTCTTACAGCCATATAGCCAAGCTTCCTGTGCTCTAGTGACCCAACAGAAATGTTCCCAAGACCTGCACTGCTATGTTACATACAACCAAAGCAGCAGATGCCAATGCACATAGCCCCAAACTGCCAAGGACTTTCAGACAATGAAAGGTTTGAGACATAGCCAGGCTCGTAACTTCCAGCACCTTAGAAAGGGGCCTTTGGTATTGGCCCACTCATCTCGGAGAGGCAGGCAAAAGTATGTGCTGCCCATCCCTTCATGACCCGAAGCCTTTACAGTCACAAGTACACTCATTATCAGGGAATGCTAAACTAGAGGGAGGCCTCAACTCCAAAAAAAGAAAAATTTGCATCTTGGATTCTAACAGCCAACTGTGAAATACACGAGCTGTTTGTTCAGACATTTTATCACCTATCTACTTCATCTGTCCCTCAACCGTCTCTTGCTATACAGTTCAAGGTCTAAACAGAGGCTCTCCTGGCAGACAGCCTGTGTGGGACCAGGACTCGGGAGAGACTGAGGAGAACTGAGGCTGTATTTAAAGAACACGAAGGGCCCTGTGTGAAACAGGATGCTCACAGCTGTGGAGAACAATCAGATCACAGTAGTGACAGGAAAACCACAGGTACCATGTGCTCCCTTGGCACAACACTAATTGCACACTCAAAAAAATGATGTTTCTAGGGATCAGGATGACCATCTGTTTGGAAAAGCTGAAGTAAGCTTTGCCACCCTAAAAATTAAAAACAAATATAAACAGCCAACTGCTGCAAATTTGAGAGGACATTACAAATTAAAGAAACTAAATGAAAATTGTATTCCTGGAAGGAGTTTTTGTGAGTTTCATGTTTAAGGCAATTAGCAAATAATCTATTACTCAAGGATGATTGACACAGAAACAGAAATCCCAGGCTAAACTTACTCCAGAAACAAAGTATGTCCAGTAACCTCAGTGCTAACTATGGTTAAGGGATGCTGCAATTTTCACCCACAGTGTTTCATGGATGCAGCATCAAAGACACACTCAGGCCCGAGAAGTAAACTCAACCTCTTTCTCAGGGCAGCTGTTTTCTCAATCCTTGTCCAGTCAGTCTGGATTTCCAAGAAAGATAGCACTAGGTTCTTCTGAAGATGAACTCAGAGCGCTAAACCTCAACTGGTTTAGACATGGCAAGTGCTATCCACACCAACTGCTCAATGAACTGCAGCTCTCAAGCCCCACCCCCAATTCCATGTACATGCTAACATTATCTATATTCTGTCTAACTGAACTCACTTGAATGACTTTATAAAACATACTTCCAAGTATGTACATTTGATTATTTCCAAGTATGCATTTTATAGCATGGCTTGCTTTCCAAGGTCAGTTTTATGTACAGTGGGAAGGGCTACCCATTGTCATTCAAGGCATTTTTAGTCATCACTGTGCCCACCACCAACTGTTCAAAGTGGGACCCTGAGCCAGACAACACTTCCTGCACGGTTACTTTCATCATCCCTCCATTTTATAAGAAACTCTTGAGGAGCTAACTTAGAAAATCTTCTGGAGGTTTGGTTTCATGAGTAGAATTCCATCCTGAGACCATCATATCTTATTTTAGAATTCTAAGCCAGAATGGTACAAGTTTAATACGAAACTTTGATCTATTTATTTATATATACCCAAATAGTCTATGTGCTTATAAATTTTTTTAGACAAGTGGGAAAGGTGGCTTCAATTTTTATAACTATTTTCATGGCTAAGTTTTTTTTTTTTTTTTTTTTTGTTTTTTTTGAGACCAGGTTTCTCTGTGCAGCTTTGGAGCCTATCCTGGCACTCTCTCTGGAGACCAGGCTGGCCTCGAACTCACAGAGATTCGCCTGCCTCTGCCTCCCAAGTGCTGGGATTAAAGGCATGCGCCACCAACGCCTGGCTCATGGCTAAGTTTTAATAAAGGCTTTTATTTTTGTGTGTGTTTGTTTCTGTGTGTGAGTATGTGCATGTAAGTGCAGGTACTCAAGGGACCACAAGGTGTCAGATCCTGAGTGGATGCCGTTGGGAATCACTCAGCTCCTCAGCAAAACCAGCATGCACTTTTTTTTTTTTTTTTTAAGATTTTATTTATTATGTATACAACATTCTGCTTCCATGTATATCTGCACACCAGAAGAAGGCACCAGATCTCACAATGGATGGTTGTAAACCACCATGTTGTTGCTGGGAATTGAACTCAGGACCTCTGGAAGAGCAGCTGGTGCTCTTAACCTCTAAGCCATCTCGCCAG